AGAGAAGTTGTGCTGCGGACGTGCAGAAGCTGCGGCTAATCGGTAAATTAGCTGAGCCAGTAGCAATTCCAAACAGGCTGTCGGATTAAAATACACATTGGAATGATGATGATGATAATAACAATAAAAACAATGTTTATTCAGTTTAATCAACATTCGGCAAGAGCAAAAGCAACAAGCATGGTACCAAAGCAACAACAATAATAATATTACACCGGATTAGGATAACCAGAACAACATTTTTAGTTTAGTTTTACTGTACACTTTTTGTTATTGTTTTGTGGGTGTTAGCGTATCGTTCTTTTTATGGGGCTCAGGATTTTTGTCTGTCGGATTCGAGCTTTTCGTACGGTCAGCAATCCTGTACAAGGAAGGCCGCTATTTGTGGCTCATAGGGATATGGTCGATTTGCGTTCACCGATGTCTCCAATGGGGCGGTCAACAAGTGGCGTACCGGTAGTTGGATAGTCTGAATTTCGCTATTGCGAGGTAAAAGTAGTCGTCGGAACATAGAGCCTACAACCATTCCCCGTTTTCTGAGTGACGGGAATCTTAGTCCCAAAGGACCTCCCAGATGCGCCTCAAAGTTATTCGGTCAACTCTTGACATTCATATCTCCTGCTAAAATCACGATATCAACCCGGTTCGCTTTAAGCAAGAGCCAGTGTAGTTTTCGGTGAAATTCGTCTTCAACTGCACCTGGGCTGCAGTCCGTTGGAGCGTACACCGACACGAAAAACAGGTTCCGTCTATCGGGGTTGCCGTGACTTACTTTTCATGAACCTTTGAGTTTCATTGTGTACAACTGAATGCCGACTGGGATTCAAGTTATCAGGGTGGCTTCATCTCTTTCAAGGAGTCACACCAACGCAGACACTAAAAACTCATGCTACAATCACTGTCCAGTAGCTCTGCTCGTGAACTTCGTGTTGGATCGATCTGGATAGGTCTAGCCACGAGCCGTAAAGCCATAATTGATGTAAGGTCTGAAAAAGCATGCAGTATTTTATTGAAAAAAAAAACAGTCGACAAACGATCAGATTCCGTATACAGTACACCCCATCACCTCTGATGGCTGTCAACCACAACAACAACGCATTTGTGCTGCATAGTAAAGCGTTCACAAAACACTAAGAACCTCAACTGTTGCCCACAAGTTCAGTTCATACCCACCCCCCCGTGGGGGTGAGTTAGTAGGATGCTGAATTCATACTCTGTCAAATGACATCCCTATTGATATCAGGACGCAACCCACTATCATGAAGTCGAACAATCTTTTCCTATATACTGACCTATCCAGGAGTGAGAGAAAGTTACAAGACATAACGAAAAGAACAGAATTTGTTAATGGGACAGCACTATATAGTGCAAATCCTAACACTATGTACGTTGTTTATCTCAAAGGTGTTATTCATAACTTAGGTCTGATCAACTATCCGGTGACCGAGTGAGTAACGTCCTTGCGTTTCACCTGTGAGGTCCCGGGTTCGATCCCCAGTTGAGTCGATGGATTCGCACTGCTGATAAGACCTGACCCAATCGAAACAGCGGCCCAATGCTCCCTATCTTTTCAGTTCACGCTTCATGTGCTATATNGCTATATACACGACGAATTCCCTCTTGGAAATTCAGGAATCGTTCGGAGTAATCTACTACAGAATGATGATATGTTAAATCAGAATGAACATACAGGACTGTTTACTGTAAAAGTTCACAAAAATGATAAGCGGTTGGCCACTGAAAGTCTGTGAAACAAAAAAGGCATGCCCACAATCTCGAGGGTCCTTTCACATGATGGCTGATGATAATTTCATTTTCGCCTGATCTATTTCATCAATGATAAATATCGTTGATACTGACCTTCTGAATAACAGCAAATTTCCATCCTGATGAACTGTTCCAACTGCATCTTGTTACAATTATCGTTACCGCAAAGTATGACTATCCGTGGACAGAGATCCAACATCGTGCCTGTAAGAAGAATCCTTGATGCAACAAAACACTGTCTCAGAAACCTCTAAGGTTTATTTCTTTTACATTAAACGGAGTATTCAGAGAACAAATAGCTGTTCGAAAAGAGCGATTTGAATGGGAATAATGGTTAACAACTCCCCCCNCTCCCCCCCCCCACCCACACACACACACAAATACAGGGCCAACTCACCCGATCGCAGTAGACACTTGCGAGTCTCTGTGGGCAGAATTCGGAAGAATGGGATGTGCTCAGACCAAGCAAGCAGATCGTGCAGCGGAAGCCTGTTAGATTGGTCCTAGGAAAAGAACAAAAATGAACACATTATCATCATCGTACAACGAGATACGGTGAACCTTCACTTCACTGATCGCTGCCAAGCTCACAATGTACACAAATCAAGTGATGAAGTATAAGATGGAGAGGGATTGGGCCTACTTGGAGGGAGGCAAAGAAAGTGAACCTCTACGATCAACACGCAGAGTACACAATCTAAGTGTTCATACATACCTTTTTCAGGCATTCTTCCTTGTTAAGAAATTACAACAAGAGCGCCACTGCTGTCGGTTAGTCGCCATATCCTTTAATGTCTCCAGCCAACCGGTTGTAGAGTCTTTCGGACCCCAACCTGGAAGACGAGAGACACCGATTCTACCTAATCGCTCCATGGATTTCTTCATGTCTCGCTTCGACGTCATCTGTTGACCACCACGCGGT